TAGATAGAAAGGTTTTGTTGGCTGCTGTTATGATTATCTCCCTTTAGAGACGGGAAAAAAACTTTATTTTTAGCAACTTGTTGATGTTAATTTGGTCAAAGACCAAATTCTCAAGATTTTGTTTTTACATGTGCGCTGTAAGCGATGGTGGCTCTGGGAAAATCTTCAAGCATTTTGCCAGACTTCTTATACGGGTATTATGCAATTGTCCTGTGACCATTTTGTTTTTTCAATTTTGTTTTTTTTTTACGGAAAAAGTTTATGCCGTTATTTTTCTAAACCATTTGATTAACGTTGCTATGTCTTTGAAAGAATGAATAAAGAAAAAATAGAGCAAATATAATTATCTGTACTACTCTTCTTATTGTTCATAAAGATAAATAATTTGAAAAATTATTGTTGTATAATATGTAAGTGCATAGGGACTCTCAATTTTCAGGGGTTATTTATTGTTTTGTTTGGTGCGTACAAAAATAAAATCTTAACTGAAAAATGTTATAAAGTAATGCCTCTTTTCAAACAAGGAGATGCACAATTGGTTGCTAATGTCAACTGATTCTAAGAACATTTCTTGTCCATAGGTCAAAGGTCAAGGAAGCCTTGAAAGAATCTTCACCATTTTTGTGAAAGGTCAAGGTCATTGACCTTGAGATAAAAAAAACAAAACAAAGTCATATTACTGATCTTATTCTTGCAATGGAGAAATGAAGAGCATTAAAAATGCTTATAACCTAGTTTGCTTAAAAGGTCATTAGGTCAATGGCAAATGTCGAAACAGTCCATTTTAAAACTGTTTTCTTTCAAAGGCAATCATTGGCATATACTTGCTTGGCAAGCGTTTTTTCAGTTTATTTCATGAAAACTGCATATTTTATGTTATTAATGTATATATTTATAGTGTTTTGAATTTATCAGAAGTTGTCGGTCATAGTAATTGGCTGTCTGTAGAATAACAATCTTTGCTTAGTTTAAAACATTTGGGACTTTTGTTTGGTTCAAAATGTTGTTTTTTTCCAACCTTAATTATAAAGGTGTATGCATGGGTTACATTTAGACATATAGCAATATAAAAACTACATAAAAGAAAATATTACATGATTATAATAGCTCTACATAGAGACCAAACTTGGTCAGTGTATATATCCTTTAGTCAGTTTCCAAAGACCAACTCTGGTCAGTAAAGTTTGACTTTCTTAGGCCATAACTCAAGCTATTCATTAGATAGTAAATGTTGATATCTGAAGCTTTTAAGGTCAAGGTCACTCACAGGTTCAAGGTTAAGTTGAATTTCAAAGGTCAAAGAAAGGTTATAGAATTTAAAAAAAAGTATTTTCAAGCCGAAATAGAATTGAATTGTTTACCGTATAAATTCAGATGGCTTCTTTGTTATATTTTTGTTATACTTTAAATCATTGCAAATAGTATTGAAGTATATTGTTGACAGAAGTTTAAGATGTTGTTTATTCTTTAAAGTGCAAGTATGCTATGCTTCATTTATATCAGGAAATTGTTTCTCAGTTTTGTTCTTAGAACTTAATAAAAGATGGAAAAAGATAGTGCTGTTAAAAAATCCTTCGAAAGGTTTTTTAAGTGTTTGTTATTGATTGACAAAATAAAAATAAGAAATTGTCAGGAACAAAAAACATCAACCATTTCATTCAGTATGTTAAACATTAAACTGGCGGTGATAAAGATTATATGCCATAATATTTCACATATGTGTCAAACACTTAAAAAAAAAGGATTTGCATTTTTTATGGTTTTTATTTTTTCGGCCTAGCCAAAACTTGTTTACATGTTTTTGATATTGTTTTCCAAGAAAAAATGTGTATTTTTTGTCATTAACATATTGCTGATAAGCCATCTGGCTTCTTTTAAAACAGTTTTTTTCAGGCTGTTGCTATTTCTGTAATCCCGGTTAACTTGCTTACTACTGCTAAAAATTCTGCCATTGTTTGCACTTGTGTTTAATTTTTTAATGATTTTCAAAGCTGAACTTTAACTTCTTGATACATAATACAGAAATTTGAATTCCTTTTATTCAGAAAAGTTATGTTCTGAAATTATACATAGAAAGTTTAAAGAAAAAAAAGGAAAAATAAAGATTTTATCTGTAATCTGCACCTGGTCTCTTGAACTTATTTTTGAAAATAAATTTATATGCCAAAAGACTGCTAAATCTCAGGCATTTTTGTAACTCTTTTGTTTTTTGGTTTTGTTGTTCTAAACACTAAACTAGAAAAAGAATTTAGATGCGCGTTTTTTTAAAAAACAGTACAATAAGTTAAAGACAGTCTATGAAAATCATTTTAAAGATTACTGTTATGTATGTAAAGGTGTATAATTTTTTTCTTGTCTTTTCTTACATTTTTTCTGTGTTTATTGATTAGTTTAGATACTCTTGTCTTGGTAGATTTTTTTCCTCCTCTGAATTTTTCCTTTTTCCAGTATTTGAAAATACGAATGAAAATGAAATATTTACGATCTATAAAACATTATTGTTCTTGTTTTTTTGCTTTTTTGACAATTTTCTGTTTGATTGATTTTTTTCCCAAAGGAATTGCACTTCTTTACTGAAATAATGAAAAAAATGTGATAAAATCCTACCCTGCTGGAACCAAATTTGATAAGTTTCTGCAGCCAGTATTGGACCAGGCCAGTTTGCATGTGCCTGCACTGCAGTATGACAAGGTTCCGTACTGTAAGCTGACTAAAATTTTCGTCTTAATATCCCTTTAAATGTTAATGGACTGTACCTTAAACAAAAGTTGGACAAGTCCATGTTAGAAATTCAGCAGGGCAAGTTCTGTCAATTAAAAAGTGGTTAATTATTATAATTCTTTTTCATGTTTTGACTTAATATTCCCATTATATTATTCTTTAAAAGCAATTCTCTTGACCAAAACAAGTTTAGGAGATCAACTATAAAAATCATTATTTTGATTGAATTTTATTAATAAGTTTTCTTTTGTTTATTTGAATAAAAAAAACCCTGGTCAATCCATGTAATTGAAAAGAACAATGTGTTTTCATTTTTTTTTTTCTAAAAAAAAAAAAATAAATTGTAACTTTTTTTTGTTGAAAATGGTGACTATTGTATGTAATGATTTACGTATGGTAGCATCTACCACTGGTTTATGGGTGAATGTTGAAAACAACGTGTATACTATCATTTTACGTTTTGCTTGTGTACTGTCAGGTTTTGCTATAAGCTTTGGAAATAAATAAATTTCTTTCCCTTACCAATGAGTTGTTTTTCTTTGGCTGCATCAGGGACCTTGGCTGCATTGAATAGGTCATTGTTTCCTTCAAGTAACCCACTTGTTAATTGCCAAGTGGTGATGAGTGGTGAAGGTAGTTGATTTCAAATCACTTGCCCCTCACTAAAAAGGGAAAAATTTGGATTCTTGCATGTGAGGAAGCTACTCAGCTAACTTGCAAAACATGGGTGGTTCTACTATTTGGGGGTGGAGGGTTGTGCCTGAAATAATCCACGGAGGTCTACTTCAACCAGTAAAGTTGCTAAATGATCTTTACTGTGTTAGTTTGACTTAAACAGAGCAACAAACAAAACTCCAAATTGATTTGTTTTTGCTGGAGTAAATACAGATTAGTGCCCACTCGATTTTATCTTTTTTACTTTATACCAGAGACAATTTAAATAATTGTCCACTCGGAATTGTCTTTGATATAACTTACACCAATACTCAGCAGAAAATACAGCCAACTTAAATGTGAAGTTTATACCACATAAAGTCTGTTGGTGTGTAGGCTACAGTATAATGTACTTTAGGGTAATAGTTTCTTGTTGCCTACTCACTTTTGAGGTATGTACGTATTGTATGGAAGATCACATGATTAACCTTTATCAGTGAAATTAGAAAGTTCTACTGCGGGAACTAAGAAGATTTAATTACTAGAAAGACCTTAAAGAGAATAAATTCCCAAGCAAACAAAAAGTAACAGAGTATTGATCTTTTAAGTTTTAGCCTGCCTCAGAAAAAGAAATATTGTTAATCAACAATATGGTTCAACATCAAAAGTTGGGACAATTCTACATAAATCAGGGAGACTTGATTTAGATATTTATATGTTCTTTTCAGTAATTTTCTCACTCTTGGATTTTTTATTTCTTTAAAGATTCTTTAACTGACTCTTATGCTTGTCACAGAGTTTTGTATACAAGAACTGCAACATTATGTAGAGTTCAAGGATATTTCTGTGCTATCAATCAACTTTCCAAGATATCTAAAGTTATTCTTTATTTTTATAATATCATCTTTTGCATATCTTTCTGTTTTAAATGCTCCAGTCAATTTTAAGTTTAATTTGATGTCACCCAGTCCATAAACCGTATACAAACCATATTTCTTATACAGACTGTTTAAATGCGACTTTCACGACATGCAAATTTCATGACAACACAAACGATAAACAAAAAAAGGAATATTAAACAGAGCATGATGTTTTGTTTAATCACTTGAAAATAATCAAACTAAGGTTTGAGATATTTCACACACTGAATAAATAAAAAAGTTATTTGAAAGCAACTTATAGTAAGAAATGACAGCAACAAAAGGGATGAAAGGATTTAGATTCCGTATAATAAAACAAGTAAAACGTGCTTTCGGGCAAAATGCATGTTTACAAACTGATTGGTCAGCCTCGGAGAGTATATGGCCCAAGGCCCACCTTCCTCAGTCTAACCAACTGGTCCATAAACTTCATATAGCCCTCATGGCCATGTTTTATTTGTTAGTTATAAACTTTAATTAAAATAGAGCTAATAATCGTACAAAAATATGATTGTCAATTTAATTCTGAGGATATTTCTTTATCATTTTTTGTATATCTTTCTGTTTTAAATGCTCCAGTCAATCTATGTAAGAAATTCAAATTTCATGTTTTTAGGCTTTTGGACCTGGGTGGAGTCCCTTTAAAAATCAATCTAAGTGGAGTCCCTTTAAAGATCAATCTTATAAAAAGAACTCAAGAAACTGTACCATGATCAATTTATTCTTTATCTTCTGTCTATCATTTTAACATAATAATGGTCAATGCACAGCCATAGATATCACAAAATTTCAACAAAACCTAAAAACAAAAGGATGTCCACAATGATTTTACATTTCTACATAGAATGTAATACTACAGTAATTTTAATAACTGTAATCCTATGGAAATAGGTGTTCAGACCTTTTTAAATAGAAAATACTGTTAAATGTATGTTGCAATATCAGATTATTGCAATTTTTGTTAGTTCATTATTCACTAAGCAACCTCTTAAACTGAAAATGCATCAACAAAGATGTTTTTGAACACAATTATTTCTTCATGTTTGTACTTTAAAACATGATAGGTGTAATTAAAACATCAGAGTAAAAAATTTATTCCATCATTATTTCAATCATTCGTGTTTCACGAATGTGTTTCATGATTTTTCTGTTCTTTTCTCATATCTTGCAACCAAAAAAATCCAAAGAATAGATCCATATTCAGACAAATTTGTTATCATGCATTACACACAATTTTGTTACAACCGTTATTCTGATTACTCTGTGGTCCAAGAACTGTTATTATTACTTCCTGGTTTGGAAGCCATTTTCATTTCCATTTTATAATCAAATCTATTCGGGGTCACATGACCAAAATGTTCTTTAATAACAAATTGAGCCACCTTCCTTCTCCCTGGAAAATACAAAAAATAAAATTTGTATGTAAAGCCACTTAAAGTAAAACAACCCATAACATGCTGAATTTTCCTAAATGGACTTGTTCAGCTTTTAGTTAGTTCTGGAAGTGTCCATTATTAAATTAAAGGAAATCTCTTCATTTTTTTTTTTTTAAATCTTAAAACACTGCCATAAAACATTTCTCAAAATTCTTTGATATATGAAATTCCCTTATATTGCCCTGACCGGGTCTATTAATTAAGGTTATCTAAAATTTCACCATTGTCTGTTTACTAATTTTAAAGAATTTAGTATTGAACTATTTACAAATTATACCAGCTGATGATTTTATCATGAGTGCCTTCCTCTGAAGAAATTTGTTGAAATGAAGATATGTTTGCTATATAATAAAAGATAAAACATACCTTCTATCAGATCTAGGTAGAGTTTAAGGAAATACATCTGGGCTGGCAAAGGTGCTCCTATAAACTTGGAACTCTGAAACAACAAAAATATAAATGCTGTTAAAGTCACAACATAATTAAATACTTAACAAGACTTGCAGTTAAAATGAGAGATTACTATCTAAGTAAGCTTAATAGTCAAGCTAGTCTGCAGATCTGCTTTATTAAAACAGATTTTATACTGTAGTCTGTAGGTTGCTTTGAAAAATGAAATCCCTTTAACACACAACAGAAAATTCAGAATTCTGAACGAGATGAGTTCATAATACAAACTTGCAGAGTGAGGACTTATGTTATAAATATCTTTTGTTCTACATACTAGAAGGTTTAGAGTCTGCTCTTAACAGCATTCAGATATATGTGTCAAAATACGAAAACAGTCTAACTTACATAATAAAGTTATAATCGTAAAGGTTTAAGTTATACCTACAATATGCATCCCCTAACTTAATGATTGGTAGTAAACAGATGGTCCTGCCTAGTCCATATATAACTAGTCTGACTGGTCTAGTCAATTATTCATATCACTTACCTTTTATTTCGCATAATTGGGCCTTAAAATTTGTAAGATTAACATGTACTTTGATAAACACATCTTTGCATACAAGATTGGATATCAAAATCTATAACTAGCAATTATTAATCACTTTAATACTTCTACTTGTATCTGATTGGTTGTTTCTACAGCACAAAAACCAAGTATTCATATTAAATAAACATGCAGCTTCAACATTCTAATTGAGCCGCGCCATGACAAAACCAACATAATGTGTTTGTGACCAGCATGGTTCCAGACCAGCCTGCACATCCCCACAGTCTGATCAGGATCCACCTTGTTCGCTATCAGTTACTCTACTTGTAATAGGGTTTGTAAGCGAACAGCATGGATCAAGACCAGACTGCGCAGTGTGGTCTGGAGCCATGCTGGTCGCAAGCGCATTATGTTGGTCTTGTCATGGCGCGGCTCAAATATGTTAAAACTATTATAATTACCTCCCCTAGATTAGCACCAGCTTTGTCATACTCTCCCCTTACTGCATGTGCTGCCGCCAAGTTATACTGTATTATTGCTTTGGCTGTGCGTGGATCTCTAGGTGTCCATGGATAGAATGCCCCTACAGAAATAAAGTTTAAATACATGTAAATTTACAAACACATTATCATTTAAAAATATTGTTACATTTTTGGATTTGGATTATTAAAGTGACATTATGCTCATATTTTCATAGTCAAGTTGAGCTGAATTGACTTTTTATTTCAAAAGATTGACTGTAAAATCGGTGTTTTGACCAACAGTTTATTTTGGAAAATGTTAAGGATAAAATTTAAAATTTACCTAAACTATAAAAAGACTGCCCCACTTTTTTTACAAACTATACGTTTCAGGTAAGTTCTAGTTGATATTTACAGATATTCCATTTTGATCCCAGGGTTATTTATTGTTTATTTGAAGTGAATTATCAGGGCTGCAGATAACATGCGTATTTGCGTAATTACCAAATTAAAATGTCAAAAAAGCGGGTGCGACAATTGGCACTGTGAGCCAACCGTAGGTCCGATTCGCTTGCAACTGGCACCGTTGGACTCGCTGGAGGACTGACTACACGGCCACCAAGTCTCATGGCCGTAGCCCAAATACCAGGCCGGCACCAAGTCGGAATTGAATTAGACCTATTTCGCTTCGTTTTTGTTTTTTTATATACGTTTGCGCTGGAAGTTTCTAAACGAAACCGGGTGCGACAATTGCCACTGTGTTCGAACCGTAGGTCCGATTCGCTTGCAACTGGCACCGTTGGACTCGCTGGAGGACTGACTACACAGCCTGCAAGTCTCATGGCCGTAGCCCAAATACCAGGCCGGCACCAAGTCGGAATTGAATTAGACCTATTTCGCTTCGTTTTTTTTATATACGTTTGCGCGCTCAAAGTTTCTAAAAAAAGCGGGTGCGACAATTGGCACTGTGTTCGAACCGTAGGTCCGATTCGCTTGCAATTGGCACCGTTGGAATCGCTATTGGATTCACTACAAAGCCACCAAGTCTCATGGCCGTAGCCCAAATACAGGGCCGGCACCAAGTCGTAATGCAATTAGACCTATTTCGCTTCGTTTTTTTCTTATATACATGTGCGCTCAAAGTTTCTAAAAAAAGCGGGTGCGACAATTGGCACTGTGAGCCAACCGTAGGTCCGATTCGCTTGCAATTTGCACTGTTGGACTCTTTGGAGGAAGCACTAGACGGCCTGCAAGTCTCATGGCCGTAGCCCAAATACCAGGCCGGCACCAAGTCGGAATTGAATTAGACCGATTTCGCTTCGTTTTTTTTATATACGTTTGCGCTCAAAGTTTCTAACAAAAAGCGGGTGCGACAATTGCCACTGTGTTCGAACCGTAGGTCCGATTCGCTTGCAACTGGCACCGTTGGACTCGCTGGAGGACTGACTACACAGCCTGCAAGTCTCATGGCCGTAGCCCAAATACCAGGCCGGCACCAAGTCGGAATTGAATTAGACCTATTTCGCTTCGTTTTTTTTTTTTTTTATACGTTTGCGCTCAAAGTTTCTAACAAAAAGCGGGTGCGACAATTGCCACTGTGTTCGAACCGTAGGTCCGATTCGCTTGCAACTGGCACCGTTGGACTCGCTGGAGGACTGACTACACAGCCTGCAAGTCTCATGGCCGTAGCCCAAATACCAGGCCGGCACCAAGTCGGAATTGAATTAGACCTATTTCGCTTCGTTTTTTTTTATATACGTTTGCGCTCAAAGTTTCTAACAAAAAGCGGGTGCGACAATTGCCACTGTGTTCGAACCGTAGGTCCGATTCGCTTGCAACTGGCACCGTTGGACTCGCTGGAGGACTGACTACACAGCCACCAAGTCTCATGGTGCGTAATGATGAAAATTATTACTTAACGCCTACATCAGGCAGATCATACTGTTTCAGACTGTTTTAACCTTTAAATCATATCAGGCAGCTTGGAAATCTCCTAGGCCAATAAACCATAAAGCATAGTAGTAAGCAGCTTTTTATTACCATACAAAACCTACAACAGTCTACAATGAAGGTCAGAAATTTTGAGTAATATACATGAACATTTGCTTTAAAACCCAAATTGGTTAGAGAGGGTAAGGTAAAAAATACAGAAATAACTCTTAAGAAAATAGAAAAAACCAAATAGATCACAAAACAAGGGGTAATCACCCAATATATACAAAATGTTATCTGTAGCCCTGAATTACAAAATTAAAAGGAATTATGGCATTAAAGACTTTCACCTGTTTACTCACTGTATTCCCTTGAATGGGCATAATGTCACTTTAATGGATAGTATTGTTACAACCAAATAACTTGAACATGTGTGTTGTGTAGCTGAGAGGTGAATGCATCAGACACGCAATCTATGTATTTCTATCATACTTAGAAATAAATAATATCAAATTTACCCAAAAAATCTAATGATTTAACTATTGTTTGTGTGTTTTCTTCAACCACAAATCTTTACAGATGTTAACATATCATTTTTTGTACAAGTTTACACATTAAAATAACCAGCACATTTCTTTAATGTTTATATAAATTTTAACACATTTATTGGTTATATCTCAGTGTTGGGCCGACCTAATCTGCTTTCCTGGATAACTAATCAGTAATTACCAATCTCACTGCAAGTAATCAAATATAATAACTACTCCTACATAATTACTGGATCAGCAGAGTAAATTAACTTGAGATTTGAGTTTGTATATGTTTGATAGACCTATTCTATGACACTGAAATGATAAAACTATAGACTATATGTTATTCTGTAATATTACCTTTAATTTCTGGTGTTTCCAGATCTTTGTCACCTTTATCTAGTTTGTCTGTTTTGTCTGAAATACAAAAATAAAGCATGTTATCAAACAAATGTACTGGGATTTATAGAAATCTACATTCCCAATAAAATCTTGTTATCTCTTTGTAACAGTTTCAAACACTAACGTAAGTAAAAACTAGTTGAGAAAGAATTTTTAGGGCTTTCAAAAATTGCAGCTTACGGTTTTGTGATGGCCATGAAAACTCTATAGCATATGGTTAAATACAGACAGTGCAGTGCTTTGATATTAGAGAATATAACACATGCTTATTTTTTCTAACACCAACAATGCATACTTTTCTTTTAATTCTTTGTTAGAATCATGAAATTGTCACACAATAAATCCTGCCTAAGACCAATGAATCATGATGTAAGTGTAGTCAATCCTTCTATATAAGTAACACTCTAATAAGCTTAAGAAAGTAAGCCACCACATAAACTGCTAGGGATTTCATACTTTTAACTGGCAGTCAACTTATCTTTGATCTTTCGAAAGAATGAAAATGGGAAACAAAGTAGAAAATTTGGCCAGACTCTATCTGGTGAGCCCTGTGCAGTATTTTTGTATTTTTAATGGTATTGAAAAAGATAGAAAGTAATCAAATTGGCAACTCAAATACAAGGTATCTATAAAGACTGTTTAAACAGCATTCAGTGTCACTTGTTTTAGCAATCATGTAAATATTACAACAAGAGGGCCATGATGGCCCTAGATCGCTCACCTGACTTATCAAACTCATCCAAACAATTACCTAGACAAGCATTCTGACCAAGTCTCATGACAGGTGAGTCAAAAATGTGACCACTACAGTGTTAACAAGGATTATACATATTTGAGCACTGCGACCTAGTTTTTACCCAGGTAATAAATATTCAAACTTGACCTAGAAATCATCAAAACAAACTTTCAGACCAATTTCCAGGATACTTGGATCAAAACAGTAGCAACTAGAGTATTAACAAGATTTTTCTATTTTTAGCTCCGGTGACCTAGTTTCACATGTGATTTCGAACTCATCCAAGCAATTACCTAGACAAGCATCCTGACCAAAATTGATGATAATTGAGTCGAAAATGTGACCACTAGAATGTTAACAAGGTTTTTCCATATTTGGGCGGTGTGACCTAGTTTTTCATCCAAGATGACCCATGTTCGATCTTGACTTAGAAATCATCAAAACAAACTTTCAGACCAATAAACAGAATATTTGGATCACAACAGTAGCCACTAGAGTGTTAACAAGATTTTTCTATTTTTAGCTCCTGTGACCTAGTTTTTCATCCGAGATGACCCATGTTCGATTTACTCCCAGCAATGACCTAGACAAGTTTCCTGACCAAGTTTGATAACAATTGAGTCAAAATTGTGACCACTAGAGTGTTATCAAAGTATTTCTATTTTTAGCTCCGGTGACCTACTTTTTCATCCGAGATGACCCATGTTCAAACTCATCTGAGCTTTCACCTAGGCAAGCATCTTGACCAAGTTTGATGATGACTGATGCAAAAATGTGACTGCTAGAGTGGTAACAAGGTTTTTGTATTTTAAGCTCCATTGACCCACTTTTTAGTCACAGATGACCCATGTTCAAACTCATCCGAGCTATCACCTAGACAAACATCTTGACCAAGTTTGATGATGATTGATGCAAAAATGTGACCGCTAGAGTGTTAACAAGGTTTTTTTATTATTAGCTCTGGTGACCTACTTTTTCATCCGAGATGACCCATGTTCAAACTCCTCTGAGCTATCAACTAGATAGGCATCCTGACCAAGTTTGATGAGGCAAAAATGTGACCGCTAGAGTGTTAACAAGGTTTTTCTATTTTTAGCTCCGGTGACCTACTTTTTCATCCATGATGTCATCTGAGCTATCACCTAGACAAGCATCTTGACCAAGTTTGATGATGATGATTGATGCAAAAATGTGACCCCAGAGTGTTAACAAGGTTTTTCTATTTTTAGCTCTGGTAACCTATTTTTTCATCCGAGATGACCCATGTTCAAACTCATTTGAGCTATCAACTAGATAAGCATCCTGACCAAGTTTGATGATGATTGATGCAAAAATATGACCGCTAGAGTGTTAACAAGGTTTTTCTATTTTAAGCTCCGGTGACCTACTTTTTCATCCGAGATGACCCATGTTCAAACTCATCCGAGCTATCAACTAGACACACATCCTGACCAAGTTTGATGATGATTGAGGTAAAAATGTGACCTCTAGAGTGTTAACAAGGTTTTTCTATTTTTAGCTCTTGTGACCTAGTTTCTCATCCGAGATGACCCATGTTCAAACTCTTCCGAGCTATCAACTAGATAAGCATCCTGACCAAGTTTGATGATGATTGAGGCAAAAATGTGACAACTAAATGTGAACGGACGACGGACAATCATCGATCCTAAAAGCTCACCCTGAGCATGCTCAGGTGAGCTAAAAAGGTGTTCTACTAGTTATGGCCAATAAATATGTGAAATATGAAGACTGTGATCAATAGTTTTCAAGATACTGAGCAGAAACCATTGTGACATTTAAGACCCAGTGACCTTGACCTTTGGCCTCAAAATCAAAAGGGGTCATCTACTAATAATGTTAATATAGAGGCAGGCCAGTCTGCATGTTCCGTGCAGTGCTGACCAAGGTCTACACACCTGACTGACTTAATTTTTATCTCAATAAAAAGCAATATATAAACAAAATACCTTGTTCTGTTTTAGTATCTGGCAGTGTAGTTGATATATCAGTGACTAGTTCCGGGTTGAGATGTTGTATACCATCAGCTATACGATCTAATGCTACCAGGGCCTCTCCCATATACATGTGGGCCAGGTAACTGAAATATGCATAAATAAAACATAATAGGCAATACATAACTTACATGCTAAATAAGTGCCACCAGGGTACAAAATTAGTTAAAATTTAAAGTGTAAAATACATACAGACCGGAATATAGGGTGAAACCATTTCTATAAAATACATTTTGATATCGGAAAAGACAAGAAATATATAAACAGATTATTCATTGACATAATTCATAAAAAGGCTAAAAATTACAACTGATTATTTCATTTTCACAGTTCAATCAAAATATTGTGTAAAGTACATTATAAATGAATCCCCAGCAGACTAGCGGTAACTGAATATACCCAAGCAACCAGTGCATAGCAAGATCAGTGCCGTCTGATGAAGGTGTGCACTGTTCACTATTCAGTCAATATTTACTTTCAATTTTCCCTAAAAATGATAAATGATTTAATAACAAGTCCATTTAAGATATTTAGGAGGCTAAGGGTTAAACAATCTAACTTACCTTTGAGCACCAGATAACTTTGGTTGTTTAAGAAGGGTTTCAGCATATTGCAGCGCCATTGTATAATCGTTCAAACATAGGGCAACATAGGAACTAGCACATAGCACGGAACATCTGAAATATAGAATTATTTTACAACCTCTGTGGAGTGCAGAGCTTAAGATAGCATGTGTATCAGTGTGAAATACGCATAGAAAATCTTAAATATGCATCATTTTCAGAAGTTTCCTATGTTTTGTCCCTTCAATAACACAGCATATTGTGATAGCTAGAATCAACTTAATAAATATTTGTCAGTGTATTAGTCATATTTGTACCTTGCATCAGTGATTAAAATATGGACTATTTGCAAACACGATAAAAAAAAACAACTCAATTTTGAGTTTAAATACATTTCTGATCTTATATACAAACATATCTATTTCACTTCAAAGCTACATATATTGCTAAATGGCCCCTGTGTTTGAGTGGTTAGGGATGCTGACTTTGATTCATTTCCTTATCACCACTGTGGGTTCAGATCCTGACCATATAGATTCATAATGGTTCATTTTCTAGCTTGCACAAGTTAGTTAGTTCCACCCATGTGTACTATAATATCTTTTATATTGAAAAATCAGACTGAAAGCAAAATAAAGACAAACAATATAGAAACTACTAACCTGAGATTGTGTACCTCTTGTGTCCTCATAGGGTTTCCAGGTGGTGCTTGTACTAAAATTGGCTCAGTGCCAAGTTTTCTGTAAATTATAAGACAGTTACGTGTAGAACATTTTACTCAATACCAGGTAATGATTCATATGAAATTTGTACTGACAATTCTAAATGATAAGAAGTTTGCAAACCTCACATTTAGACAGAAGTTAAATAATATCATAAAACAGATGTTTGGACACATTTTTGGTCATATCTCTGCAGTTGTATGAAATCATTAGTCATGGAAAAGTTTCCCTCGCCTTAGTCATGGAAAAGGCGTTGTACCAAATGAAGTAAAGCCTCACAGTTTGATGATCCTACTAGGGTCGTGACTATTTTTGCTTAAATGAAACCAGCTCTGGTTAGTTCCAGGAAAAGATCTCAAGAATGAATCAGTTAAGCTCTTAGCTTTCTATACATCCAAGCTAAAACAAAAATATCTAAAACTTTAAAATTTCATTGACTCAAGGATTAAGTACAGTTGTAAAAGTCGTGGCCAACAATCAAAAGATGGGGATAAGTCTGCTATTAAAGCATTCATGTTTACTTCAAGAACCATGCATCCATATTGGAAATATACTCAGGCCTTTGCTTGAAGGGCACAGCCATCTCCACTACAAAGACCTAATCTAGATATGTGTCCATAGCACACAGATGCCCCACATTCCACTATTTTGTCAATCTACTTACAGACAACATGATGGATGGCGAAGAAGAGAAAAACGTGATGCACAGCCCCCTAACCCCCTAGTTAGTGGGAGCATCAATAACTTGCCCAACAAATCAATCCAATATCTTATTCCAAAGCCAAAATATATTATACCCATCTTCTTTATCTTCATTTTGTTCTGCAGCCGTTGTTTCAGCAGTCACCTCTGGTAGCAACAGTAACGCGTTCCTCAAACACAGCGAGGCAAACTCTAGAGTAGCTGCCGGTATAGCTGGTGTACCAACACTGTAAAAATTAATCAGATATAAAACTGTCAAAACCAGATGTTAAGACCGTCCTTGTGCCCTACAGTACAAATATAAACATTTTGAGTTTCTTCCACGATCAATGTATAAGCAAACTCATATATCTGCCACATTTTTTCAAGTGAAATTACTAAAATATACCTCTGACCATTAACATGGGGGTTTAGAATGTATAATACAAGACTCTCCAACCTTCAATCTGAGTTATTCTATTTCAAAATAACTCATTCAAGTGACAAAGAAAACAATTCCTTTGCAAATCTTTTAAAGACAAAGTTTACATAATAATTATTTTAAAGTCAGACCTTTTTTCTGTTAATACCTCTGAAACATACAAATATCTACAAATTTTATTCATATAGCAGCATGAATTTTAGTTCTTAGATCGGATATTTTAAAACCACTGTCCTTCAACAATCTACCAGCACAATGGATGCTAACTCGGGACAAAACCATCCAAATTGAGCTTTCTAGATAGGTACATGTACATTCAAATTCTCATTTATAAACACAGAGTTGCATTTGTGAGCTAAATTTAGATACAGCTCTTTTGACTACCAGTATTTTAATATGTGTATACTGAGAAAATGCCAGAACACACCAACCTGTTTTTATCCTGGTTGACCCCGGGTCCAAGGATAAGCTTTCTATGTACACCACTTCCAACAGATCCCTGTATAACCTCCTGTCTTTTCTGTAACTTTCTATCATCTTCATTGTTCTATAATTAGAAATGTTCTATTTTTAACTCGAATAAATATACAATTTTAGTTGTAAGCAATTCTATTTTAAGTGCATAAACAAATATTTCAAGAATAAATAAATTTGGAAAACTTAATTGACACTCAAAAATAGTCTAAAGTATGCAAAATCTATTTGCCTTATTTGAACAATTAAAATTGGTTTAAATTTCAATATTAATAAATATTTGAAGTTCAATCAGAATATCTTTGCTGGTTTTTGAGAAACACAAACACACTTCAAGACAAAAACTTGACAAAGTCAAATCCAAAAAGGGGCAGAACTATGTGAAAATAATTTAACACTTACCTCCCTTTTGAGAAAATATCTTAAATTTGCTAAAGAACAAGCATTTCAAGTAAAAAACTTTTCAACCCTTTCCCTTCAGTAGTTTTTTAGATACCACACACAAAAATTTAACTACTACACTGATGCTTGGGTGAATACAATGGCTCTCCCTATTCTGGTAATAATCGAGCACAAAAATGGATAGCTGACCAATTTTCAACAGTTAAAACAGAATGCATAAAAAGTTTCCTTCACTTACCTCTCTATACGCCATGATACAACACTCGGCAAGGCGGAGCCACAAATGTGGGTTGATCTGATAAATTTGTACCGCCTCTATCAAACATTCAAATGCTGGCAGGGCCTTCCCACAATGCAACAGCTGAATACCCATATTGTACATGAGTTCAAAATGGCGGCTCATTCCTAGACAGTGCAATGGTCGTCCAGACAACGACTTGGTACCTGTTTTGTCATATTTGACTTTTGGATTAGAAGAATGAACTATCAAAAAATAAGCATCTCACAATAGCAAAACCACCTTCTGATGTTCCTGCCATACAACTGACTGTCAATAGAGATATTCCGGAAGTATGCAAATGAGAGTTTCTCCCTAATTAATCCAGGTGGTAAAAACAAACTTTTACAATTACACTTTGTAAATAAAATGTATAATACATTAAAAATCTGTTTTTTTACTCCGGGATTAGATAGGGAAAACTCACATTTGCCAAGTTACGGGTAATACCTATTTTAATAGTGTTAAAACAATTTAGTTTGTATGTACTTGTGCAACTGTTGTCACTTCTTTATATCACACAAGTTAAAACCATTTTGCAATCAGTAATTTGTATTCAATCTAAGTAAAAAAATGATTTATAAGTAAAATCAATCTAACACTATACAGATAATTTAAGTGTGAACACATTTTTCATTCAATCAGAAAAATTGCAAGTTATATATATATGTACTAAGCACTAGCGTTGTAAAATAAACTGATTCTTTTCAAATCTTGCTCATATATTTAGTGTTGAGGATTAAAAACTGTTTAAGCTAGTGCTTTGGGGTGAGAGAGATATAACCCTTTTGAATATCTCTCATGACTCAATCAAACCGAGTGCGTGTTTTTCAACTAATTGTCTTAATTTCACTATTCTCAAGGGACCACTCTGACCTTTCTTTCTTTTAGTCAAAAATTTATGTCCAATAACTTAATCTTGCAAGAATTATCTATAACAACAGACTAAAATTAGATTTATTGTCTCGATCAAGTAAATAAATGATACCATCACCTCCATGTTGTCTATTCTGTTGATCGGTACTTCGCCTCATTTCTCGTACAACATTCTCGTTTTCCTGAATCGCCTTGCGGAAATAAAACGCACCTAGGTTGTGTTTACGCAGGTGAAAATGTATACATCCTAAATTATTATAATGCATCACCGTCAGACATTCTCCTGTAATAGAGAATATAATTACAGACGCTGAAATAATTTTTATTCAAACCCAACAATAATTCGTTATTCTATCTTTGTTTAGTGTCTTTTTTTATCAGAAATTGGCCAAGCCTTCTCTAGTGAATGATAAGTTAAGTTTTTTTTCAGGTCAAGGTCATGGTGACATTTGACCTACTGATCTCAAAAAAAAAACAATGCAGGTTGTGATTTAAAAGTAAAACAACCCTGAAGACTGTAAACCAAAGCATTTTCTGGTGATTAATCACACGTCTTATCCAGAAACAGACATGTGCAAAGAAATATATCCCAATTATTTTCTAAAGGGACATAATCATTGCACTACAATTTTGTCATCATGCAATCAAGAGTTACCTACCTTTATCTGTATACATTTGTGGACCAGATCCCAACATTTTCATTGCTTTCCTGTAGTTTCCTCTCAAATACTCAAAATTTGCTTTTAAGAACACTACTGATGTATTCTGTATCAAAATAAAACAAAACATGGTATCAACTATTAAGTAAAGTTCCCTGATTTTCCCTTGTCTGAATTAAGATTTCTTAAACTTACATTATTGTATTTTGTTTATAAATATCTGACAACTGCTGGCCTCCTCTCATACAGCCAAACCATTCTGTTTCTTACTTTACCAAATGTATTTCTTCCTAATTTTAATGTTTAAAAAAAATGAAAAATTAATTTCAAATTTTTTCTACTTTGCATATGCATATTAATACAAACTGTTAACACATGTCAATACATTCAGATTTATATATATTTTGACATGTACAAATATGGGTACCTTCTATAGTGACCACCATGTCTATTTATAAAATTAATCATAAGTTATGTTGAAAAAAAATTGTTCAATTAAAAAGCAGCTACTTTGTGTGCTCCCTTCTGTGAGTATAAAACTGCTACAAGTAGTACCAATTTTACAGTTAATATATGTGAGTACCAGCGACTAGCTGAGATTGCTATACAGGAGAGCACTTTAAATGCATTTCCTTGAATTAAAAATGAAAATCTCTAAAATAGGAATCAAACTTACTGAAGATTGAACATTCATTAACACTTTGATTTCTCTTTTCACTGATTTCATGGACTTCATCATGATAAAACATCTGGTCTTAAACTGAAACACAGCAACAACAAAAAAATCAATAAAAAACCTAACATTTTATTGGGTTAACAGATCATAATTCATTTAACTTTTTGAAGTGATCATGTGCCATCAATGCTCTGTATTTTAGTTTAGGCGACTCAATAATACAATTTCAATGAAAGTTCATAAAGCTATATATTTTCTGCAAAAATTATTGTTTGAATTCTAAAAAGTACTACTTCCAAAATGCTTATACAAAATAAATATGGTAGTAAATTGCCTAAGAAGTAAAATTGCACATGCATGAAATCATCGCTAAATGCATATAACTCTACATACATAGCAAAATAATACTTGTTCCAGCACATTATATTCTGTTTTACACTATTCATGTGTGTAACGTCTCTTTTGAGAATTGACCAAAAGATTATGGAACCAATAGAATTCAACTGTGAGTAAATTTTTTTAAAAATATTTCTAGAGACGTAACTTTATACCCTTTAAAGGGACTTTTACTGGTCGGGGACCATCAACCGGACATGTTTTGAACATTTTTCCATACAGATTTCATACTTTCCAACTCAGAGACGTAAAAATTTGACACAGTACAGCTAGGTTCTTCTCTTAACTAACAAACTAGTTTGTTTATTTCTGATTGTATATATCTGAGGCTCCTCAAGGAGGGTATCCAAATTAGTATGATCCAAATTACCTAAATTGTCTACACTACAGTACCATGTGTCCGGACAAATATGTACATGGCGTGATTTAATTCATATAAAAGCTTGGATGTTTTAATTTTTAAGTTTAAACATGATATACAATATATCAGCAACAAATGCTGAAGTTTTGGAAATTCTATTGTTTACTTTGCAAATGATTGTAGCTGGTATATGAGATCAGGCATTTCTTTCTTTATGCCCAAACTTCAACGGCAACATTCTTAAAATAGACATTAAAATATTAATATTTATGTAGGTAGAAATAAATTTATTTACTAAATTATAGAAGAAACGTGCATTTATTGTTAAAACAAAAAGTGACTGACAACCACTGAACAAGGAAAATACTAAATTAAGCATTTTCGGGGCCGTCCGGGTTTGGTGGTTGTCTGGTTTTGGTTGTCCCCAACCAGTACAGAGAATTCTTTTTACATGATGAGGCTGGAAATTTTGCAAAATCAACATTTTACACAACATGTAATTGGGATTGTGTATTATTTGCAAATTTCTACTTTCAGTTCTGTTATATTTATATAATACTTAGTGAACAATTACTTTTAGGGAAATCTTCAACTTATGAAAATGGGAAATTTAACTGCTCATGAAATTTCTGACTTTATTCTATTCTACTACAGAGATAAGATTACCAATATTTCATGAATTAACCGAACATAAACAAGTTCATAAATCAAGAAGTTTCTTAAATCTATTTTCAATTCAAGCATTACCTAACAATGCAGAGCATAAGTATTAACATAGTAATTAATTATAAACAAATTACCACACTAAGTATAGGTTTCCAGGTCTCCCAGGATGACTCACTAGTGGGCGAACCTTCCTTACTGTCTTCTTTGCTACTTGAACTTTCCTTTTCGGCAGACATATTTTTACCGTTGAACACATTTTTTTCAATATATGTTAACAAACCCATGGCTTTTTCAGGCTGAAAGAAATAAATACATTACATACATGTATTTACAGCCATGATTTTAATGATGATGATTTTTACTATGAGTTTTACATTTGTACTTAAAAAATATCATAAATGAAATTTCAAGAGTATCATAGAAGAAGCATTTTCAATTTCAATTTTCTACAAGAATTAATAAATTGTCAACAACATTTTTGGCATCCTTCAATCTTCAACAAGGTTTAACCAATTTTCAACAAGGAATGATAAATTTGACTACCAAATGTAAAATGTTACCTGATATGTACAGAGATACAACTCAACTTGAAGAAGTAGCACTTTTTTACAGAGGGACTCATCTGAAACATAACAAATGATTATATCATATGAAGGTTAATATAACAAGGAGAACAAAATAAATCAATGATAAAGGGAATCAAAACAATTCTTATTTTAATTTTATTGATAAATTTTTGTAAATTACATAATTCCTGTATGATTTTGTTGATAAATATCATGATCTGAAAAGTTAATGTCATAGAAAGCATGAACTTCAAAATTCTGAAATTATTTATTTATTTATGTAAACTACACGAGTCCATCATGTCAGACTGTGATGATAATTGTTATCATTTGAAAATTTAGTATTGTTCATTCCTCAAGTCACAATAACTCTTTCTAATCATAAGGTTATTATCAAGCTTTTTAACACTAAGTATAAATATACCCATGCAACCAGTGCAGACCATAATTATCATTCTGTGCTGTCTAATCATAGTCTTTCTGTTCATTATTACAAGAACAAAAGTTCACCAAGTAAGACAACTGACCTTCTATAAACTAGAAGTAGATAGTTGTACATGTAAAATAGCTTTCTCATGTCAATTATTGTCTTAAATATGCTTGCGTGTGACCGAAGAGTATAAATGAAAACAGGATTTGATTGTGAGGTAAAATATGTTTTGGGGTAAGATTATATGCAATGACCAAAAGCATTGTATCACAGAGAATATTTATATTTACCTCTTCAGAGAGAGATGTGGGGGTATAGGGTCGAGAATGAAGGAAAAAAAGTTTATCTAAGAATAGAAAGTGCGAGCTTTGTTTCTGACGTAGAATGATACAATGTAGTTGGATTGCGGCTTGAGGTTGGTAAAACAATACGCTTGTCCCGATGCTGTCGGCGAAGCTTTCTGCCAGTTGCTCTAAATGGGGAGAGGGATAACATCTGCCTAAAATAGAATACGAAAAATGTAATCATTGTAGTGTACTGCTACTTTGCTAACGAGGTGACAAGAAAGTCTTAAAATAGAAATTCATTCTTTTTTTAAGCTAAAACAAGGGCATGCTTTTGTAAAATATAAGTAACAATTTTTTAATTAAGTGTCAGTGACCTGGACAATGGGTGTGTCGAGTTTCAGTACATGAAGTAAGCTAGATTTTGTGATGAGGTTTTTCTTATAGGATGGGTAGGTTCTTTTTGAAATTTTATATTAGGGAGGAGTGTTGTAAACGTAATTGTTTACATTTGACAAACAGTTGCTAAAACTTTGTCCTAAACTGCGATCAGTGCTTTGTGATCCAGACAGACAGAAGTCTGCTACAGCTTTGTTATGAACCACCCTTGGATCAGTGCCTCGCAGTGCCATCAATTTATTCATTATATTACAGCAGGATGTAAATTGTTTCCGATCAAACTCCTGCATTGCTTGAGCAGCCAGCTCTTTCTGCTGCTCTGTAACTGGTGGTGTGTCACCCATTGTGTATACTTGAAATAAACTTCAACTGAAATAAAGTAAAAACATACCTATAGTAAAATTAGTATCAGCATACATGAACCATAAGAACACAGCCATGAAGGCCAATATACAGAGCTCCAGATAGTATGCATATCAGTGTAAAATACACAGAAAAAATCTAAAATACACATCAGCAATTAGTTTCGGCACAATTTAATAAAAATACACTTGATTATCAAATTTCGTACATAAGGAAATTCCATTAAAGTAGTGTATATTTGAATATCAAAAGGCAACATTTTGATTTCAAAAAATTACAATTATCCTTCTGCTTTCTTGGATGGAAAAAATATCCTAGGAGTTAAATTGTTTAAAACATTTTAGGAATAGCTATGCATACTGACAAGGTACAACTAGCATATATGTTGAGGTTAGCTGTATGGCATTTTTAAAATAAACTACCTAACACAAGTGCAAAATACAAACTTGTGATTCTAAAAGAATATCATTAAAACCTATCAATTACAGTAGATCTATGAATTTTAAGCGGTTATTGATCAGAATTTTTTTCTTAGAAAATAACGAAAATGAGGCAAGCATTGAGAATTTCAAGCTGGTTGTTTGCTCACCATAAGGATTTCTTGTTTGGTGGATGCAATGCACTTGTTTTTTTATGATTGCATAAGAACACTAAAGAGTCAATTTACAGCAGTAGATAGATAATGACAAAGTATTTTTAATAATTATAACCCGTTAATATAACCTCGGAATTTACATTGGCTCCTGAAACTCTTGATTTCTGATTTATAAAATTATACACACATACGGCTAAAACTTTTGGCTAGTAGTATATGTTATGTATGCAACATATTACATGTATATAATTTATATCTGACCGGTTGGTATTTCCAATATTATCATTGTTCTATTTTTAGAACATAAACTACATGTATGTACTAGAAGGTTCTTAACTGTTGTAGAAAACTCATGCATTATATTTAGATAGAAACTTCTGGAATGATCTTTATTGTTGAAGTTGCTAGATTATGATTACTTGAGAACATAATAGACCTTTCTGGAAACTTCTTAGTTAATATATATAAGGAGACATTTTTCATTAATCTTATCTTTAAGTCATCAGTTACCTTTTTAGTCATCAGTGATCTTTTAAGTCATCAATATATTTGGAGTATTATACAACTTGGAAATTAAGTGATTTATTGGAGCTTGGATTATTAATTATTCTTGTGGATTTTATTGTGGGAATTTATTCTAAAGTGTTCTTGGATTTAACTTGGATTTAACTTTGCTATTCAAAAAGGATCATTCCAGGATCAGACTAGACATTAGATTTTACATTTATATTTGGACTTCAGGTATTTGTAATCATAATTTGTTATTTTATTTTTCTTTAATAATTTTTCTGTAATAAATTTGTTATTGTTACAAGTTTGTTGCTGGCTTTTCTTTCTCGTTACGCCTGGCTCGTAACAGAAATTGGGGGCTCATCCGGGAATTGAATATTTCCATTTGGGCTACATTATTGGAAATTATTACCGTTTATTTTACATTTTATTATTACCGTATTTACTCATCTGAGTTGATATCATAGTTGTTCTATTAAGTGTACCTTTCATTTTGAAATTTTTTGAAACACCACTTTTAAGTTTTAAACCAGCAGCAAGCAGTCATGTCTTTTAATTTAGAAAAGTTTGTAGCTGAACCTTCCCAGGAGATATTAGATTTGGCTAAAAAAACTGATTTGCTTGATCTTGCAAAAAAGTATAATTTATCAGAAATTAAATCTTCAATGCGTAAACAAGAAATTAAAAATCTTCTGATTCATTATTTTTGTGGATGAAGATATTTTTGGACAAGATGCACTTTCTCTGATTGTTGAAACAAACCCAGAAATTAAGATAAAAGAGCTTGAACTTCAATTTAAATTTGAACTAGAAAAAATGCAATTAGAAAAAGAAAGGGAAGAAAGGCAGTTACAGTTAGAAAAAGAAAGGGAAGAAAGACAGTTAGAAAAAGAAAGGGAAGAAAGACTGTTAGAAAAAGAAAGGGAAGAAAAAGAAAGGGAAAGGCAGTTTGAAAAAGAAAGAGAAGAGAGAGAATTTCAGTTGAAAATGAGAGAATTAGAAATCAAAGAGAGAGCAAATCAGTTTGAACATAGAATAAATTCAAAATTTGATGTCACTAAAAATATTAGGCTTGTTCCACCTTTCCAAGAAAAAGAAGTTGATAAGTATTTTCTTCATTTTGAAAAGGTTGCTGAAAATTTAAAATGGCCAAGAGAGCACTGGACATTACTTTTACAGAGCGTCTTAACTGGTAAAGCTCGTGAAATCTATATACAACTTACTGTCGAACAAAGCTCTAATTATGATAATGTAAAAGAATTAATTTCTGAAAGGTTATGAGTTAGTACCAGAGGCCTACAGGCAAAAATTCAGAAATTCTAAGAAAGAAGTGGGTCAAACCCATGTTGAATTAGCAAGAGAAAAAGAACAACTTTTTGATCGGTGGTGTCTATCTAAGAAAATAAATAAAAATCATGAAAAGCTCAGACAGCTCATGTTAGTTGAAGAGTTTAAACGTTGTATTCACTCAGATGTTAAATCTTTCTTAGATGAAAAACAGGTAGAAACTTTAGAAGAAGCTGCCCGTCTAGCTGATGATTATTCTTTAACCCACAAAGTCTCATTTATAAATAAAGGGAAGTCCACACCCTCACATTTTTAATTCCAAAAGTTCAGTTCTGGTAATTCATCTGGCTCATCTAGTCAGTCAAATACTCCCAAACCAAAGTCATCTGATGAACATAAAGGTCATAATCCCTTATCTCGTCCTACATGCAATTATTGCAAGAAAACTGGACATCTTATTTCTGATTGCTTTACCTTAACAAGAGCTGTCGGTAGGACAGCAACGCTCGACTATTCTTAGTGCTTTATAGTAAAAAAAATGCTTGATACATTTACCTCCTCCTGTTTACAGGTTGGGGTCATGATGGTGAACAAGTGTGCAAAGTTTCAAAGCCATATGTCAATGGACTTTGAAAATATTTGAACTATTACAAAAACTTTAACGTAAATTCTAAGTCGAAAAAGGGGCATAATTCTGTCAAAATGCTTGATAGAGTTACCTCCTCCTGTCTACAGGTTGGGGTCATGATGGTGAACAAGTGTGCAAAGTTTCAAAGCCATATGTCAATGGACTTTGAAAATATTTGAACTAATACAAAAACTTTAACGTAAATTCTAAGTCGAAAAAGGGGCATAATTCTGTCAAAATGCTTGATACAGTTACCTCCTCCTGTCTACAGGTTGGGCTCATGATGGTGAACAAGTGTGCAAAGTTTCAAAGCCATATGTCAATGGACTTTGAAAATATTTGAACTATTACAAAAACTTTAACGTAAATTCTAAGTCGAAAAAGGGGCATAATTCTGTCAAAATGCTTGATAGAGTTACCTCCTCCTGTCTACAGGTTGGGGTCATGATGGTGAACAAGTGTGCAAAGTTTCAAAGCCATATGTCAATGGACTTTGAAAATATTTGAACTATTACAAAAACTTTAACGTAAATTCTAAGTCGAAAAAGGGGCATAATTCTGTCAAAATGC